GCGGAAGGATCAATCCATCAAGGAATCATTCCCTTCACAACGAGGTAAAAGCAGGTACATAGACCCAGGCCCAACATCAGTAAATGCATTTTTCCTGGGGTCAGCAATTGCTAGCATCTATTAGCTGTTGAGTTTCCTTAGTGATCTGAGTAATGCAGAAAGATCAAAGAAAACCCAACTGACTTAGTGAGACATTTGCAATTTCACTACAGCAGCCATAGAGACTGAAGCATGAAATCTTTGAGACAAGTAGATGTTAGTGACAGCTTACAGCAGTGGGGCTGAGTGAATGAATGAGTATTTCCTGTTTGTGATGGAAAACACTTGCTGCTTTCTGTACATGAAGGGTCACACTGTGCTCAGAGTGTGGTGACAGGATCACATAAAATATATTTACAAGTAGTCACACAGCATATACTGTAACACAGTATATATAACTCACATAGCAAGCAGGTGTTTTGGTGCCTAACATGATAAAGCTCACAAGCAGACAAAATAGAGGGAAAGACTGTGAGACACCCCCACCCACCACAAGAAAACACCAAGACAACTACCCCAAACAAACACCCAAAAAAGAAGACACTAATAATGCTGGTGGTTACAGAGCTGGTGATCACCATGACAGTCTCCTTTCTGGACAAAATCCCACAGGATACTAGTAGGTATGTAGATAAAGGCTTCAATGAAGTTATTAAAAATCCTCTGCTCCTGTATTTTGTGGCAATTTAATACTATTCCAGGTTCATGACCAAAGCCTTCAGATACAACCACCCAGGGAATGCTGTATTAAAATTCTCATGCAGACAGATGCTCCAACAATGAAATGTCACTACACATACACGGTCGACTTGGGATTTTACTGTGCAGGCCTGTTGACATAGTAGATAGATTCTTGAAATGAAACCAAGGTCTCCCTGTGCTGTTCCGTATGCAAACACAGAGACTGCTTCTTGTGTGGAAAGACTGGAAAAGTAATTAAGGACAGTTTGAGGAAGAATAGAAATACTAAGGATTTATCTGGATTGGCCAGAGTACTTTTGAATTCCCTACCAACATACCAGAATGCCATTTGGCATGACTGTACCAAGAGATGCCTTTTCTCCTGACAGCTTCTGTGGCCTACTTACCACCCCTGCTGTTAATAGTGTGGATTGGATGCTTTGCCTCCACTTCCAAAGGTTCATTCTTATTTGAAGGATTTTTTTTTTTTTTTAAATTTGGTTTGGTTGATAAGGAGGAAGCTTTAGCATGGTAGGCAAGGATTTAGTCATATGTGAGCCACAGGGAACATTATCCTTAGAGATTAATTTGGAAATCAAGTGACAATTGGCAGGGGATGTGTTTATTTTCTATTTTTTGAAAGCTTTAAAAGTACCACAGGTTTTTTGCATTGTCTGAAGGAGATCTAGTCTTCTTCTATATTACTAAACCTCAGAGACAACAAAGAGAATATCATGCTTATCTCAAGTGTCAGAGACAAAATTAGTAATTTCACTGCAAATCAGAAAACAAACCAGATTATTAAGAAGAACAGCTCTACACTAATCAAAAGGGTGTCTCACAACCACCTTTTAGATGTACTAAAGGCAGCTGCCTCACTGTGAATTTAATTCAATGAACACATGGAACATAATTTATTTGGTACATACTGTTTGCTAATCAAAGAGTATTTCTTGGCATCTAAACTGTGTGAGTGACAGAATGTTAAGCCCGAAAACATACTGATAGTCCTCAAAGTTTTTCATCAAATCCAAGAAACATAATGTGCACACATGCAAGCAATTCTTCTCATTCAAGTAATGAAGATGAAATCTGTGTTATCAAGTTTTGTTACACTGAACTGCGGTCCTAGGGAGACCTTACAAGAAATGGCTTTTCCCTCTCATGTTTGTGCAGGACAGAAGGCTTCATGACTTTATAATTTCTCCTTCTTTCTAATTACTGTACCACAGAACACTACCCGTGATGACGACAAAGCCTGTGAGCAAACCTTATCAGCAGAAAACAGTCCTGGTATATCTTCACTCAATTCACACTTAGGAGCACGAAACTGGGTTTTTTGTTGATTTTTTTTTTTTTTTAATCAAGGTTACTGTGGGCCTCCCATCTTGCATATCTATGGTGTGGGGAACAGGTTAAGGAATAACTTCTCTTTTCCTTCTGAAATGTATTGCCTTGGGAGACTGCTCTACTCCAGTGTGAATGTGTGGACCTCCATCACCACAGGCAGTCATGATGAAAAGCCATTAAACCAACCATCTTGGCTACAGAGGAATATTTCACTGTGCTCTTTCACAACATAAGCTAAAAAACAGCAGAAAGGAGCATGGATTGCTGCATGGTGTCTGCTCACAGTTTTTCTAGTCCGACAGATGCTGTGACTGAGGAAAACCAGGTTCTCCCTCTAAGATAACCATTGCTCTTCAAATCATAAATAATCTCAGGACTAATAAACAACTGCAGAGATCAAAACCTGGTATGTTTTACTGAATTTGAAAGGATATGAACTTTGCTCTATTATCCATATGTAAAAGACTTCTGTACAGATGGAAGAAAAAACCAAAAGAAATTACTACAGGTTTTATTCGAAAATGCCAAAGAAATATTTCTCAAATGTAATGCCTAGTTTAGGAAAAAAAACCAAACAAAACCCCACACCAGGATTATTTGAAAAATTCAACCTTTTTCCACATTTGCATTCAGATCTTTTAAAATTTAATGTGCGGGAAAAACCCCATCGAAGTACGGTCACAAAAGTGCTGCCAAAAGCAATCTTAACATAAAGCTCTTCACCAGCATTTCTTAATAAGGAGAAAACAGTATAATATGTATATCTATTTAGTAACTGGTAAAAAAAGTCCGTATGTTATCTACCTGGACACGGTGATGAGATTTGACCTGTATATTTATTCTGAAAAGGACAGAATAATCTTTTTAAAACTAATTAAGAGATGGTTCAAAGTAGCAAACACAGCACAGCTGGAACATATATCTTGACTCCTTTCATACAGATTACATCTTTTAAGTTACCAAAACTTTAAGGCAGTGAGGTTGAAGAGGACTGTGCAAGTTCTACTAAATACATTTCATCTTCTAATTGCTCGCCTATTTAACAGGATCATCATAAAATGAGGAGCAGTTCTGAATATACTTGATGTTTACTTTTAGAGCAGTTAACTCAACATACAAGCTCAGTTTTTCCCTACATTATCACACATTCCAAACCTGGAGATAATTTTAAAGGTCCATTTTTTTTCATAGTGGCTATAAGAGTTATGCAAAGAAAGAAGCAAGTACACAGGCAGCAGATGTGATTACATGTTTGAGGCTCATGTGAAAAATCGTAGTTGAAATTTGGAAAAACAATATTTCCAGGTTTTTCAGCCCAATTATTTACTGACATTTCAGGTTAGTGACAATCTCAAAATTTGCTGTGGAGAAAGACATACTACAAGTTCAAAGGCTCAGGACATTCAGAGCTAAGTCATATTCAGCATCTTTTTGAAGCCTTTGTTTTTCCAAGCAGCTTCAAGAAAGTACATTATGAGCTAGAGAAGAAGAAAATGGATTTTAATGACTATTTTATTGATGCAGCAAGCTTTAAGAACAACCTGTTAGTTTCCTGATTGTGCTACTTCATGTTCTAAAGAACACTCAGAAAGCTGTTTAGCAGAGAAAACAAACCCCTGAACAATAAGGTGTTTAGCGGTAAACCCCATCAACAAAGTAGTATTTCAGCATAGAGAAGTGCTCTTCAGACTCGGTAGAAAGGGACATTCTCCAGTCCAATGGAGCCTATAAAACATAGATGAAGGATATACCAACAGCTGCAAGTGCAGTCACACAAGAACTTCTGAATCACATTCCACTGCTCACAAAACCTTCTATGTCAATGTTTTACCATTTCACGTGAAGTTTTCACCTAATTTTTAAAGTTAACAGTTGCTTGGAAAGCTGCCAGAAAAATGGCTCAACATTTCTCAAAGATAGGGCATGTTTTCTTTGCAGGCGCTGTGTCATTCATCTCATGGAATGGGATAGTATTTGCAACAGACCTTCCTGGCACAAGCACATTCGTGCAGAGAGCGGAATACTAACAGGCCAGTGACCCCCACTGTAAATTTTTTTTTACACTCTGCAGCTCTTTATTTTTAAGGAGAAAAAAAACCAAAAACAACAGCTTTCGCATGTTGGCATTAAATTCCAGGTTTCCTACCAAGTTGTCAAGAACATAGTGCACATATATGCCTTTAAGCTGAAAATTGGTCATGATTTAATGAAGTCAGAAAGGTATAAATAATGCATGTCTTTCACAGGCAGCTTTTTTTGTAATTTAACAACTAATAGCCTTTCAAAAAAGTATTCCATGTACAGAACCTATACAATGGTCTGCAGTCTCTTTCCTGTATGATAAGTGAGAGACTGTTAGGAGTCGAATTCACCCTAATGTTGTCCTGCTAGCTTTGATATGATGTGTGATTGTATGGAGACAGAGAAACTATGCAACTTTAAGGTCTGTAAATGTAGTTAAGGATGCTAAGTCTGCAGGCTTTGCTGATGAGCCAGGATGAACAAATTATTTATCGAATACCTGATGCATAAATAAAACCTTAAATTATCTAGATCATGTAGATAGATTTGTCCACATTCAGTAGGGAAATCCCAGGTAAGATAGTCATGGTGAGAAATCAAATTTGAAAAACAGAACAAATTAGCAAAACCTGTGTTCACAAAAAAAAAAAAAAAAAAGAAAAGAAAAACTAAGCCAATCCCATAATATTTCACTAGGTTTTAAGCGGCAGATTTTCTTTCAGGACATAAAAGCTTGTCCTTGAATGCGTTTCTCTTTAAGATTTTAGAATTGTGCCCAAGTTCTGATTAGCCCACAGTAGCATGGGAGAAATGCATCTGCTGGGGTTTCTTTAAATGGAATTAGAAAAACAGCACTACCAACACACGCACTTGGCACAGTCAGCACACCTTACCAGCCATAAACTTACCTTTCTGTGATTGTTTCTCTGAGACCACTAGCAACCCCTTTCACCACTGTACTAGCCTTTGGTGTCAGCACTATTTGAGATATAAAAAAGGAGCCCTTCTTTCTTCTTTCGGTGATTGATGCCTGGAGGAACTGAATCAGTTTTTCCGGATCCGTTGTGTTTGCCCAAGGAGCTGGCATCATCTGGCCTGGCCAAAGAAATGCTACCTCGACAGCCACTGGACTGTGGTAGAACACCAGCACTTGGTGTTCCTTCTCCCACAAGTACTGGAGGGTGACTTCATGGGCAAATATAGCAGGACACATTTTGTTTCCATACGTATCTTTGAGCATCTGGACAAGCTTTTCATGATGGTACTTCTGCATCCCATAGAAGTGATTGAAGTCCAAGAAGACCACTTCTTTTGGGTGCTCAGTGAGAAACGCATTGATCTCCTCCAGACCCTCCTTGACTTTGGCACTGAATAAACCATGAGCGAAGTAGAGCTCATTGTCTGGGTCTCTGGGCTTGGTGGAAATTCTAAGATCAAAATACCGTATACCTGCCCCCAACTGGCTGGTGAAGTTCATGGTCTGTGTAGCCAACCACTTCCTCATCAGCTTCTTAGCCACAGTCCCAAAAACTGATACAAAATTCTGGACTGTTTCCGGCTGTTCAGGCCCAACTGGAGAGGCTTCATCGATGTAGAAGCTAAAAGAGTCATGAGACCCTAAAAACACAACAGAGGAAAAGTATCAGCATTGTATTTGTAGATTAAAAGTAATTAGTGATTTTTTTCCTTAATAAACATAATTTTCTGACCTGTACTGCACTCACCAACCACCTCTCCCGCCCTTTCCCTCAATAACAGTACATTTGTCTGGCAGCATTTCCCCACCAGCACTTTGCAGGAACTTGAAAGAATGGTAATGCCTGTTTCACTGCTTGTCTGATGCTTGGTCACTCTCTTCCAGCTCTTACTTATACCTTTAAGCACAGTGAAGCCAGCAGGTTCTCAACATTGAAGCAGTTCTGGTAGCAAAGATAGTCATATAATAAATCCCTCGAGCCAACAGGGAGAATCTGGCCCTGCACACTGAATCATGCACTGTTTAATTTGCAGAATCAAAGGAAACAAAACAAACCAATATCATTCTGCACACACCTTTATAGCCAGATAAAATAGGAGTTGAAAAAATGCCAAGGACACATAATCTTTCTGACCTTTATTTCAAGTCTCGTCTGCTCATCCACAAGGTTACTGAATCTGTTTTCCTTCTTAAATTTACCTCTAAAATTCTTTCCTTTACTTTGCTAAATAAGTACGATAGAAACAAGGATAGCACTGCATTCCACTGATAAAATTCAGAAACTCCACTGCTTGCTCTTGACAAGAATGGGGTATACTTCTTAATACATCTATGTACAGGAGTTATTATTTTCTACAATATAGTTGAATACAAATATGTATGGCACTTTGCTATGTAAAATTCTCTGTCTTAAGGTACATCTATTTAAAAAAAAAAACCCCACACCAAAACCCAAACTAACCAAAAAAAAAAACAACTAAACAAACAAAAACCCAAAAGCCCCAAAAACAAACAAACAAACCCCCCCAAAACAAAACAAAAAACCAACCAACCAAAAAAAACCACAAACAACAAAAAAAACCCCAAAAAAACCCCCCAACCAATCAAAAAAAAAAAGGCAGTAGTTAATTTTGCTCAGCATTTAGACATCCCCATGAAAGCAGGTGATAAATCTAAGGACATCTGTGAATGATGTGCATGATCATTCTCCTGCAAGGGGCTTCATCTTGCTTTACGGAGACATAAGCTGACCAGAGGAGATATTTATCACCTTTGTCTACCCTCAGCCTGCTGAATACCTGGTGGTAAGACCTGGCAGTTTCTACAAAAACACTGTCCATCTGCGGGCACAGCCACACTCTCACTATTCCAGCCAAAGAAGATGCTTCTGGTCAGATTCATGGCAGCAAGCAGATCTGCTCCTCTGCCTCAGACACACTGCTTGCACACCTCCTTCAAGGTCAGCAGGACTTGCACTCCTGAAATGGACTGCAGCACTAGGCCCTCAGACATCCAAATCCTACATCAAAATGAGTTCAGAGCACTAGTCTTGCCTGTCACCAATGCTTTTGTAGGTGCTTTTCAAAATTACTTTCCAAAGCATGCATGCTGTAGCAAATAAGTATCACATGAATGAAATCCTGCCAGTCAGTCATTTCTGAGAGCGATGCTATTTCACCTGAACTGGAATAAATCCTATAAACCAAGGCAACAGCTATAACATTTTCTCCTTTAGTAATAAATGGAGTCACAACAAATCACCTTAGACTCTGGCTTGGATTTGGCTTTGTTTAATCTGAGAAATGTCTTTAAATTTTGTATACCTCTGCTTTTCGTGGTTGTCTCTTTGAACTGCATTTTCCTTTAAATATTAGATAAATTTTCCATTTTGATAAAGCTTTCTGCTGCTAAGTGTTGAAGTGATAACATATTTCTTGCAGAACCTGATTAGATCATGCAGTATCTGGTTACACACTGATATCCTCAGGGACTAGATCTGCATACAGAATTCTAATGGTAAAACAAATGATTAGAGCAGTGACTTGTGTATCAACAGTATTACAGGCAAAATCAATGAGATACATTAAATGTTCTGCTCAATGTAATCTGCACTAATGCAGAAATCAAAGTAAATCCAGTCTTGTTTAAAACAAGGCATAGCTACTGATATTAGCAAGGGATGGATTTGGCAAACCCTCACTTTGTCCATTCAAGTCCCTTTTATTTTTGTAGGGTTTTATGTCAGAATAAGTACATGTGTAAACATGATTAACTGATTAGAGCAGCAGGCTCAAAATGGTATTAAGATTAACTGAACCACTCGTACTTTATTTTCTGATATACAGACACTAACAACCTGAAGTTGCAGAAGAAGGAGTAGATAAACTTGACCAGCACTGCCGGTATACACATATTGGCTTAAACTACTACTTAAAACTACTTAAGTCAAGAGAGGCAGTGCAATTATTACAGTAGAAAACTAAGATGAACAACTTGTCAGCAGGTAGCTACTGGTAATGCAAGACACTGAGAAGAAAGTGGGCTTGGGGAAACACCACAGTTAGAAACACATGGACATTACAAGCAGGGTAGTTCAGAAAAATATATTTTCTTAATTAAGGTCTTCGTGCACACACTTGAGCCTAAAAATAGGAATTTCTATGTGGAAGGTATAGAGAAAAGTGCACTGAGAATCTCCATGTTTCATAACCCAAACAAGGAAGCCCCACAGCATAATACAAAAAGGAAACAAGGCTTGACTTAACTTGGTTGACACTGAATGAAGCAAATGTCAGCTGTTCAGGAGTATGTAAAGATTCCTCTTGACTGAAAAATACAAATGTTTTGTCTTTCCACATGTATGAGTAATTTGAACAGGTCATCTAAATATTGATTTCTACCATGCACTCACCTTTTGTCTTAATCCTACTCTGCAGTACTAGACAGCTTACTCATGTAGTTCATAGAAATTCAAAATCCTTACACAGAGCAAATTAGAGTATGATCTTTTCCACATGCCCAAAATCATTTTGTTCCTGGTAATGAGAGAATGCTGTACAGACATACACATTGTTTTTAGCAACCATGCTTCCTTGCAAACCTTGCTTTTGTGCATGGGGACATTCCCATCCTACTTTTTCACTGGGCAGTCATCTTGAATGTTCTCTCTATCACCAAATCTCAGCTTCCATGAAGACAGGGTGCAAACTACATTTAGGAATATTAATGCAATGATGCCTGCAATCTCTGGAAGGTAGCAGTGCTTGCACATCACCTATCTTCATTATGGTCGGTCTACTACCATAGAGACTTCACAGATTGAGACCTGGAGGAAAAGACGGGAAATTACTCATCCCAAGTCATGCAGGGAGCAAAAGGTAATATTCCTCTTCTGTGCAAACATATTTTCTCACCAGTTTACTTAGTGTCTAGTACTTTCTTAAAATATTGCACACTGTTTTTCCACTGTTTCAACAGCCGAACATATCACTGACCCAGGAAGCCAAGGCTGGAGGCTTGCAAGGGTTCGCATATGTGTGTGTGCACGTGCTACAGAGTGCCCAGTCAAGAAGAAAAAGCCTTTAAACTATTGAAAGAAGCTTCAGTATTAGATGTCTTCATGCAGAAACTTTGAGGCATCTGCTGGAAGATCAGAACAGCATAGCAAAGGCAATCTGGAGAGCATCAAAGACTTTTTTATTGCAGGTACTCCTTTAACTAACAAAGGTGCACTGCTCAATCTTGTATCAATTAAGGAAGGAATGGCTAAGGACATAAGGTTGATGACAGGCTTAGATTGAGGGACTGTGAGGTGTAGTAAGACTTTAAAATACTCAGGAAAGCAATGAAGGCAAAAAGCAGAATAAAGATCCTTCATTTCAGAGCAGCAGTCTTGGCTTGTTCAGGAAACTGGTAAGTGGTAGCCTGTAAAAGCTAAATTACCTTAAATGGTAAGAGACTCAGGAGAAAGGGCTGAACTTGAAAGGCAACCTCTGTAAAGCATATGCACAGAGTGTGAGGAAACAGGGAGGTAATGCAGGAGGCAAGTTTGGCTGAATGGGTAACTCTGGAGTGACCTCAAACCTTGGAAAGCCATTGCAGAAAGTGTAAGCAGGGACAGACCGCCTGGGAGAAACAGAGAAGGATGGCAGGGAGGGAGTTACAAAGGGCACAGTTTGTAAGGGAAACCTGCAAGGGATGGGAAAGGCAAGAGATTGCTCCTGCAGATCCGTAAGCAGCAAAAGGAAGCAAGGAGAATGCTGTTCCGGTACAAAACAGGGCAAGAGACCTCCTGAAAGGTGGGATGCCATTCAGAGGGACCTGGAGAAGCTTGAGGACTGGGCCCATGGGAACCTCATGAGGTTTAACAAGGTCAAGTGCAAGGTGCTGCACCTGGGTCAGGGCAACACCTGGTATCAACACAAGCTGGGGGATAAGCAGATCAAGAGCAGTCCTGGAGAGAAAGACCTGGGGGTGCTGGTGGATGAGAGGCTGGACACGAACTAGTAATGTGCATTCATAGCCCAGAAAGCCAGGTATGTCCTGGGATGCATCCAGTGCAGCATGGCCAGCAAGTTGAGGGAGGTGATTCTGCCCCTCTGCTCTGCTAAGACCCCATCTGGAGCTCTGCATCCAGCTCTGGTGTCCCCAGCACAGAATGGAAGTCAACTTGTTGGAGCCAATGCAAAGGAGGGCCATGAAGATGATCAGAGGGCTCAAGAACCTTTCCTCTGAGGACAGGTTGAGAAAGCTGGGGTTGCTAAGCTTTGAGAAGGGAAGGCTGGTCAATACCAGCCTTCTAGTACCTAAAGGTGAGGACCCCTGGTGGTCTAGTGGTTAGGATGCAGTACTCTCACTGCCGTGGCCTGGGTTTGATTCCCAGTCAGGGAACTCCTCCAGGTAGATGGAGCTCGTCAGCCTGTAAGGCCATCCACCTAAGAGAAGGTCACTCTAAACAAACCTACATCCTGAGGACCTCACTGCCACTGTCCAAGCTCACTCGGCCCCGGCAGATGAACCTTAGGATTAAAGGGTGGGCTCAGCTCAGCGCACACTGTGTCTCACCTAAAAAATCCACTGCGCAGGCTCGAAGGGTAAAGAACTTTACCAAATTGTCGTTCGCGAAGACTGGACATGACATGACATGACAGTACCTAAAGGGGACACATAAATAAGAGGGAGAGCAACTTCTCACATGGACAGTCACAGGACAAGGAAGAACAGTTTTAAACTCAAAGAGTTTAGATTAGATGTCAGGAAGAAATTATTTACTATAAGGGTGGTGGGGCACTGGAACAGGTTGCCTAAGGAAGTTGTGGATGCTCCATCCCTAAAGTGTTCAAGGAAAGGTTGGATGGGGCTTTGTAACCTGATCTAGTTGAAGGTGTCCCTGCCTATGGTAGGGGGGTTGGAACTAGACGATCTTCAAGATCCCTTCCAATCCAAACCATTCTATTATTCTATAAGTAATCATCAAGAGACACAAAGTCCACACCAGCAGTGATTCAAAAAACAGAAGTGGTCAGTTTCAACCACTGAGACATTAAATTTAAATAAACTTAGATGTGGCCAAACACTATTTAGATATTCAAGAGTAAATGAAGCAGTATCACTTACATTGCTAGAAAATAGCTCCTAGTACTTCTATTAGGGAGAACTGTCTCCTATTTTCTTTGCTGAATTCCTGTAATAGGACAATCGGGAATATTTAACCCACTACAGCTCAGTTATGGACACATTTACGGCTTCCCTGGAGGGCTAAACCCCATATTTAAAAAATAATTTGACTCAGTGCTGCAAGAAGTCCCTTAGGGAGAATGCATTATAGTTCAGAATCATTTCTTCAGTCTCTTGGAGGTTTACACAGAGGCATGGCAAAACTATTATTTTTGGTGGCTAAGCTTAAATATACCATTCACAAAGCCAGCAAGTGTAGTTGAACTTTGCTGTGGCCTGCCCTTGCTTCCCTGTACATCCCTTGTAAAAACAGCCTGGTAAATAGCACCTAAAATTGAATGGTACTGACCAATATGCTCCCAACAGCAGCAATCACACCCTGAAGATCCACAAGCATCAGAAAAACCACAAGAGATAGAAGCAAAGTTTCACAGTTTTTAGCCTGTTTTACTCTCTTGCCCTTTTCCCACAGATCTCAAGCTCCTCTTGTCTCTGTGCTGGGAGTTATCCAACAGCTGTTGGAAGTGAAGTCTTTTACTGCTGCTTTGGATCTCACTAAAAGCTTTACCTGCTGTTGTCATTCTGTATTTAGGAGATGTCATCCCTTGGTGACTATTGCTGAAATGTCACATGCAGTGCCACCAAACTTCTCATCCTTATCACTGAAGGCTCTGTAGTGACTGATAGCAGATCACAACATGTGTCTTGGATAGCCAGGACAAAGTCCATGACCTCCCATACACAGGAGAACAATGCAGATGTTCTTGTAATCTCATTTGGTTTGTTCTCACTGTTTTTTTTGGCCTTAAAATCAACCAAGCAAGGGAAAAGTCCTGTGAATCTTCAGCTAGTCATACTGCCATTTCAAGGAATAGCAAAACCTACTCATGAACAATAGAATCAGTGCACCTCAATATTACATTTAACCTTCTTTTTAAGATGGCTGAGCATTGTTCCCTTCATCAAAGCAACAGAAAATCTTGAGAAGTCAAGGGGTGCTGCCAAGAGCAATGTAATTCAGACTTCACAATCCAGTTCCCTCTAGTACACAAACTTCTTGGGTGATACAAGTTTTGTTTGATAAAAACATTATCCAGGAGAGTAAAGCCAAAACAGTAAGGAAAAAAAAAAAAAAAAAAAGAGATTTTAAATTGCCCAGTGTCACCACAGGAAACTGTCTCACTTTCCAGTTGCTCTTAAAGTGTTCATGTTTGGTTGTGAGCCCCTAAGCCCAAGTGAAGGTCACAGGGCTTAGCCACCTATACACACTCAGCAGTCTATGGTCTAAAGGCATGGGAAGAGAGGTAGACATTACCTCAGGTAATGCAAAAGTCCAGATAATGAACAAGTCCTGAGAACAGGAATACTTGCATGACCTTACAAAACCAACATATATATACATGTTTACATTATATACCTACTGATACACTCAAAAACCCCAAAATTCTACTCTTCTTCTACTTGTATCTCATTCTGCCTTGAAGACCTTGGTTACAACGTAGGAAAAGAAAAGGGAAGGAAACATCTGCTTCCTGTCTGTACTATTACTTCCCAGAACTGATAGCCTCCGCTTCCATCCCCATCCTCCTCATGCAGGAGATAAAGTTGCATTTTCTCTCCACCACCAGGTGAGTTCTAGACTAGTCATCCCAACTGCACACAACTGTAACTCAGACCTTAGTCCTGTGCCTGGGAACTGTCATGGTTTGAGATAGCCCCAAAATCCAATTCCCTAGCTCCATCCCCCCCTCCCACATCTCAACCTAATGTGAGATGGGTTTTTTTTTCCAGACAAAACACAACCAGACTCAGAATGGGGGAAAGGGAATATATTACAATGACTGTACAAATAAATACTATAACACATTATACACACGATCACAACTATCTCTACCATGACATATAGTATTTACAAAGGATCAGATCTCTTCTCCCCTCCAAATAAAAGTCCAGGAGGGAAAGAAGGACAGATCCTTTCCAGTCTCTCAAGGCAGCAGCTTCTTCTAAGGCAGCAGGTTCTCCTCATCTCATGCATGCAGCAGTAACTGGATTGTTGTAGCTGGATCTCTGTTCAATACACACAAGGGGGTCTCCAGGCCCCTCGGCCCGTCGTCTCCAAAACGAGGGTCTTTCTCTTCCGTGGACTGCGTAGCAGGGACAAGCTCGCGTCAGCACGTCATACCACGAAGCTCAGGGGTCTTCGTGGCAGTCCCTTTCCTCAGGGGATTCAAATTCCCCTTTGCAGAGCTCTGTGCTCTGCCTCAAGGCTGCTAGCTTAGCAGCAGCAGCGAGGGGGGGCCAAGGTCAACCCCCCCGCATTCCTTCTCCGTCCCGGTCCAGCTTCCCAGGACGCCTTTGAGCTTCTCAGCTCCTCTCTGCAAGTGCTGTAGCACTCCAAGGCTCTTTCAAGCAAGAGTCCATCATCTTCCTCCTTCCAGGAGGTCTCAAGGAGTTTGGGGGTTTGGTACAGTTCCTACCCCCAGAACTCCGAAGTTCTGCTGCGACTTTCTGCTGCTTCCTCCGGTTCAGTTCTTATCTGTCCTGGCTCTTATCCAGAGTCTCTGGACACTGCCGCCGCTTCTGCTCTGTCTCTGTAGCCCCCAACTGGGCTGGGGGGGGCCAGAGACCCCGAGGGGCTCCGGGCCCCTTTCCTCATGGCTCTACCACAACATGGCTACTCTTCTACCAACCAAACTACAACCCCTTCTCTTCCGGTGCTTGTGATATGTTTACATTTCTGCAGGAGCGCTAATTGGGCAGAACTTCAAAACTTCCAGGGGTCTCCACCCCTGGGGGTTACCACTTTTTCAGCCTCTGGGGGAAAACAAGGTTCAAACCACTACAGAACACAGCACCAGGAGTCTGCCCTGTGCTGCCTTGTTGGGATTGTTATTGCACGCAAAGTTGCATGTCAAAGGTACAATCTCAGAAACCAGACAAGTGCACAGTAACTACCATGCAAACATTCTAACACGGTTTGCTTGCAAGGGCAAACAGAACTCCTTTGTATCAACAACCACTTGAAAGTTACATCTTGTCAACCTCTGCCAGGGTTTCTAATGCTACTTCTGCCATGGATGGAACTCTGCATTTACCCGGTAAAACATCTCAGCTGAAGCCCCTTAATCCACGACAAATTTCTCAACACAACTACAACAGACTTACCAGTTACTGGATCGATGGACACAGCCTAGAGCTGTGCATGGCAAAGTACAAAACACTCAAAACCCAACACAAAGCAACCGTTCTTTGACTAATGTAATACAGAACAAAGACTTTATCCTTCAGATATTCACAGAATAGGTGAGTTCAGAAGAGACCTTGAGATCATCCAGTCCAACCCTCCCTCCTCCTGAGTGAAAGAAAAAAAATATATGCACAGATTATAACAAACCACTGAAGACTAATCAAAAACACCTCTCTGAATCAGCTTCTTAGCTAGGAAGAAAGAAGAACTGGCAGTTTATCAGACTGGAGATGGCGTTCCATATCTAGTGACCAACTTTCAGACTGGAATGACTCCATGTTTTTGTCCTCCCTATAAACACATAAAATTTTCATGCAACAAGAAAGGATTTTAAGCAATTACTTACTCTTGCTCTTCTTACATCTCCTTATCACCATTTTGTTTTGTACTTTTGTACAAGGCTGTAATTGCCTCCAAGGGGAGCCCACAACCATTGACGTTGCCAGTAATTTCCATGACCATGACAAACTGCTCTTGACTCAGGCCAAAGCTGTTACCATTTAAGTTGCTCTTCAAAAAAACAGCTTGTGGAATATGGCAGTGCCTGCACCGGGAAGTGTTTCCGATCACTGTATTGAGCCAAGACCAGTGCCTCCCCTAAGCACTGCTTCTTTTCCATAAAGAACTCACTTCTAAAAAATCAAATGGCTTGGAAGGTGGGGAAGCATCGACTTGGTATTAAGGCCCAAGGTAGCTGTTAATTATCACAGTATGACAGGCAAGCTTGGCTATAAATCTGATCAGGTTACTCATTATTCAATTCCTACTAATACGTTTGTTGTATAGAAAAGTACCCACATGCAGCCTCTTACAGTTCCCTCCTGCAAACACAAAGACCAGCTCCTGTTCCTTTCAAAAGATTACACAGTTAATTCCACATTTCAAATTCTCAATACTTATGCTGAAAAGTAAAGAAATAAGAAAAACCAAGCTATAATTATATTTCTAGCTCTCTAAACAGTGCAAGCACATTCACAACTATGGTCATTTTTCTAAAGAAACTGGTCTTTAAAACAGAAGTTTAGCACATGCTGCCATCCTGAGAACATGTTTCCCTTCTTACTTGATAACGTCCTTACTGTCCTGTTTGTGTAGCATGAGGTGAAGTAATTTTTTTTGAGAGGCTGCTAAGTGTAGATAGCCGCCCACCTCTTCCCAGTTAAACCACCTCCAGACAGATTTCCTTGCAGACTTCACGCAGGCAGCACTCAGAAGGCAGCATGGTGCAGCAGCATGTGGATGGCAGGGGCCTTCCAAGAGCCACAGATTATTGTATTCTAAAAGTTCACCACTAAGTGAATTACTAGTTAACCAAATGTAGGTTCTAAAGAAGACAGACTTTACACAGATAAATGTAAGACTGACACCGCTGGAAAACTGCAGCAAGGTGAGGACGCAGCGCAGGGCAGAGCAGGTTCATTCTCATGATTGCTCAGCTCAGCAGAGTCCTTGCCCAACACTGCAGTGGGGCAGGCTCGGGGCAGCAGCACTGCTCACCACCTCATCCCATCCCCACCAGCCCCAGAGCCACATCCTGCTGCTCACCAAGCCCAAGCCAGGACATCAGAACTCCTGTGGACATGCAAAGGCAAACAGCACGGGGAACATTTCTGCATTATAGATGTAAAAGTCAAAATGATCATGCTGAGGACTGAATCAGTTGGAGTGCCTTCTCCACTATTTTTTTTCCAAATGTGATCTAAACCTCTCATCTGCACACAGAAGAAAAGTTGAAGGAGGAAGGCATCAATACTGCTTGTGCATATACCAGATGTAAAAAACCTCCCTGTTGAACATTCGTGCACTGCACTGGAAATTTTAAAAGCTGCAAAAGCCTTAAAATTTTTAAAACCTGGCCACAGTAAGCCACTAGAACAGTTATTTTTATTTGTCCAGTCAAGTGAAACTCTAAACATGATTTCACAATGGTTTGCAAGCAAACACATAGCAGTTCTATAAGAGAAGAAGGTTCCCTTCACCTGTCAGACTAAAACTCAACAGAATTCATGGAAGGACTTCAACTCAAACTTACAAAACTTAGTAAATCATCTCTTAATTTTTGACACAGCAAGAGTAACTACCAATTTAAAACAAAATCTTTACATCAGGATCGACCAAGCACCTAAAACATACCGTTTAAGATCATCAGAATTTATAATTTCAACAGCAGAATGGACACATCACTACAGCCTGCATGACTCAGATCAAGTGTTGTAGCACACAGACTACCATGGCCTTCTTGTTTATACATTTGGCTGCATTTTTGAGGATTGAATAGAATATTCCATATCACATAAAACCTTGTTTTGAATGGACAACTATAATTTGAAGCCAAAGTTAATCACTTGGAAAACTCATGGGGGCAGAGCTGTAGCTATGGTCAATTACCCAAACTCCACAAATGACAATTCTTTCAAGTTTTTGCTTTTTTGTGAACACTGAAAAAATATGTTCTATTCTATCTTTTATTTTTGCTCTGCGAGCTCATTGCTGCATGTTCAGATGCATGAGAGCTCTCTATCAGATCTCACATTTTAGTTAAATACTAGTCTCAGAAGTACCGCAATAGCTACTTTTCTTCTTAATTTAGGGACTAGTAGACAAGAATGTGAAGCAAGGAAAGAGCGAGGAAAAAATAGCAAGAGGTATATCTGAATCTAAGCAGAAAATTAATGTGCCAGGAATAGTTTGGGGCGTATTTTGTTCCAGCACCAGCTCAGTCTGGCTGAGTATGTCATCAGCATCCAAGTCATATCTCCTGGACCAATCAGTAGCACTAGAATTGTGCGCCAATAGCTTTGGGACTACTGAGAGGCTGTGATGATCCCAGGCAGCTCTGCTGAGCACAAGAAATGGCATCTCCCCACAGTGAGCACCTTCTGACCATAATTCATAACCCTAGTGACAGGACCCATGACAGGATAGCACCTGAGAAGGTTTCTAAAAAAGAGAGCGTTCATATCTCCCTCTCCATGCACGCATAGAGCACAAGTAATTCAATGTTCACACTCTAAAATAGCATCAAATCAGAAAACCTGTGCTTCTTCAGCTTTTACTTTATTTATTGTCACGGAAAACATCCTTTAATGGTAACTAGAGAACTTTCCCCTAAAATAATTGCTTCTGATTACACTGATATCTCTCTTGCCACTTATTGTATCTTTTTGGAAACACAGAATTTTTTTGAAATCTGATTTTGCCTTTCCCTCATCTCTTGCCTATCCCTTCTTCTTTGATTTACACTTTTTTTCTCTGGCATATACAGTATATCCTTTTCCTAACTCATGACTGCATTGACACTTCTATTAGCCTCAGTATAATTCTTATTTCATTGTGCTCTCCCTTCTATTTAAAAAACAGTAATAATTAAAAAAAACCCAACCAAACAGAAACCCAACCCTCAACCCAAAAAACAGTACGGTATTTTCTACTAAATCTGAGCATCACTACTGAGCAGTTCCAGTGATCTTTTAGTTGACAGAAATTACTTGCACAGCACATGTAGTTTCTGCATTTTTACATATAATTTAAAGTCCAATAAAAAGAAAACCAAGAGGTCTATCTGGATAAAATGAAACTGCATTGCAAAGTCAGTGGAAGAATGATCCCTTAAATTAGGCTTCTTATTACTTTTAAGATCTCTACAAGAAGGCCACTGCCATTTGAGATGGATCACCACAAGAAATTTAAAAGGCAAGATTTTTCAATTGTTCAAGTACCAAACTCCACTGCAAGAACATCTGCAATGCAGAGAATAAGGATTCTCCCTGCACTGTAATGAATGCACTGGCAGTCAGTTTACCAGTACTCTAGAATGGGATGTCCCAGGGATAACACTGATAGAGTCTTCTATTACCATACAAGAAATCCAGGCTAGCTGCCTTTTCATTTTCTGAGTTTGAAAAGCTGAGGCAAATCTGAGCAGTTTACCTGATTCTTGGGGTAAAAAGCTGGAAGAGCAAATGGGAGAAATATTACACTCTTTTATGAGTCAGTTTGCAAAGGCTTTCACATAGAAACTCTCTTAAAATATAACTGTTATTAACCTGTCCATATAGACTTAGCTGACTGACCACATCAAGCCTGAGAGGTAACAAAAGGATGTAAAATACTGCAAAGGAAGGGGAGGAAGTGGGAAGCATTTCAGGTGTTCTATATTTTGACCATTCCCTTTGCTATGCATCTTTTCTGTTGGTTTCCTCAAACCTTCACATTAGACATTGTTCTACTTCTGTGAATTGCCTGGCAGATTTGACAAAGAACTTTAAACAAAGTAACTCCCTTAGCCACTCTGCTGAATGCAAGACATGTCTCCTGAGACCAGGTGCTCTAAAAGCAGTCTCTCTCATGCAAGGAAAGTCTCCTCCACTATAAGCAAAGACATTGTAAAGTCTGACTTCATGTGTACTAGATGAAAATAGTGAAGCAATTTCCCCCAGACCCTGACATGCAAATCGAAAACACTGTCACCTATGCCAAAGTATTTTTTTCCTGCCAAAGTCCAGAAAAACATGTCTAAGCAGCTGAAGCCTGAACTTGAGGAATTCACCAACTATGCATGTATTTCAGCCCCTTCTTGCACCATGCTTTCCTAGTCAGGTTCTCATGGAAGATCTCCAGTCACATATAGCCACTGTAAACTATCCTTTCTAGGAGCATATACAGAAGATAAAAACGTGACTTGCTGCACACTGAATGAAGAAAAGTGACTACAACACCTGTAAAACCCTGGATCAATGCCAGAAAAATAACCTACTGCTGTAAGGTGGTACCAGGACTGGAAGACAATGAGCCAAGAGGCTTTATAGGTGCAAACAGTGGAGAAATGTTGGAAAAGGAGGACCCAGAGAACATATTTAAATACAATTATTTATTTGGTCACTGCTAAATGGAAATATACACAAAAGTGAGCTGTGTTTTTACTGCTTGACTGTGAGGTGTGGATAGGTAGATCATCTCCCTGCAACCAAACAGGAGATTTAAAAATAAATCCTATCCAAGCTCAGAGTGGTTCAGATAAGCACTGTCAGACCAGCTACACTGCAATGAGACAGTGTCCCCCTCCTGAGAGAGGCTACACTCAGCAGAGTTTTAAGAGCCCTTCAGACAGAGGTATGGGATAATCTGCTACCCCCTCTGTCTCTCAGGTTCACAGTGTGACTTCTGAATAAGGTTAAGGCCTAAAATATGAGGTTTAATAATACCACTTCCAAAGTTTTACACTTTTAATTGCAACTCTGAATAATCTTCCTAGCTACAAATATATCTAATTTCATTTTTGGCATAAACCCCAAGATATATCACAAAAGAACAGAAAATAAAACACTGCAAAACAGCAGAGGTATCGATCTCAATCAACAATCAGGAAATGGGACACACTTGTATGCTATTTTAGCTTGTAGATCAAATAAAAACAAACAAAACAAACCACCACACTGTAATATAGGTAAGCATTACAAGTGCCACTGTTGAAAGAGTCTTAGGTAGGATTGCAAAATGTATGTATCTTCCGCATCACCTGGTGCACATCCTCTCTGGCCCAGGAACATAAAGACACTATTAATTTCATTTTGCAAAAAGAATGAAGTCAAGTAAAGAGAGACAGAACAGAGAGAACTCAAACTCTCAATACCTGTCTTCTACACATCTCTTCTACCCCCACTGAAGAGGCAATTTAAAGGCTCACATGATCAATCAACCTACAGTTCCATCAAACACCTTGTAACACCTACTAATCTGATTTCAATCCAGTTCTTCTTGCATTCTTTGCTACTAACATTATCCTTGCTTGATTCAACACAGAAGTCAAATAAGCCACTAGACAACACAGAGGACTACAAGAAATTAATTAAAGCAGTTATAAAGCAGTGTTTATGCTATTCCATTTCCTAAGTTTTCAGCCTACAGTCCACACCAGATTCCCAGTTGGCATTTATCAGTACACCTCTAACGATCCATTAGGCCAATTTAGACTACTGTAGATCTGGCTGTTAGTGTTTACCATTTAGCATTAAGAAGTCAATGAAAAAGCACAGGTGGTACTATTGATTAACTGAAAGAACAGACAGATGATCTGTCCTTTGCCCAGACTCAGGATACATCTAATTTACACTGGATATGCTTGTGTCTTTAAAAGCAATTATTAGTTTAGCTGTTTTGTACTAACGCTATATAAATATAACATTTCATGGTATTTTCCTAACATGTAATTGGATAGTGTCATCATCCTCTGATTTCAACTGTTTTCATCCTCCCTATTCAAAAGTTAACTTCAAGTTAAGCACGAGCACAAGTCCTATGAGGAGAGGCTGAGGGAGCTGGGATTGTTCACCCTGGGGAAGAGGAGGCTCAGGGGAGATCTCATCACTCTCTACAACTCCCTGAAAGGAGGTTGTAGCCAGGTGGGGGTTGGTCTCTTCTCCCAGGCAGCTATCAGTAAGACAAGAGGGCATGGTCTTAAGCTCTGTCAGGGAAGGTTTAGGTTGGATATTAGGAAGAAATCTTTTACAGAGAGAGTAATCAGACATTGGAATGGGCTGCCCAGGGAGGTGGTGGATTCACCGTCCCCAGAGGTTTTTAAGATGAGACTGAATGTGGCACTTGGTGCCATGGTCTAGGAACCACAGTGGTGTTGGATCAAGGGTTGGACCTGATGATCTCAAAGGTCTTTACCAACCCAGCTGATTCTACGATTCTGCGATTCAATGCAAAACTTACAAATTAGTAAATGTGTTTTAAGGACCTTTCAAATCACTCAAATATGGAATGTTTTCAGTCTTGAGTGTGCCCCCCAAAAAGCCATGTTTTCTCTTTAACATCATGGCAATGACTGCAGTCCACCTAGACTGACAGTGTTTTGGCTTCAGTGTGACACTTCCACAGCTTAGAAGTCAAAATACTGTTATCTGCAGTAATTCCATAGCTGGTGATATTGGTAAAGCTGACGATAATAGTATAGCTGACATTTCCAGTGCCATGATGATGCCAGCACAGATTCTTCTGTGCTTCCATTGAATGCTCTAAAAAATTTACATGTCACCCTTTTCGTCTGGATTGAAATTACCCTTATTATTCAATGAGAAATACCACAGATCAAACTGACTTAACACTCCCTTCCTCTCCACTCTCTAGGTCTATACCACCCTGAATATTTTCAAGACACTTGCAAGAACTTGCTCAAGAGGGTCCATTTCCGACCCAGATGTGAGAGGCTGTGAATGGCTTGTGTGAAGGAGATCCTTTGTTTTAAATTATTAAGTAGTTCTTTAATAAAATGGCACTAGCAGACAGCATCTCTGTTCAACAGACCCACTGCATTGCCAAACACAATGGCAGCTGTTCAACACTGCTGCTACTGCTGGTTTTCAAGGAGACTGTCAAAGCTGCACCATTTTTTTTTTAATTGGTTTTACTTTTTTCCTCTTTACCTTTCCTCCAGTTATAGACATATATATAATTTCAGTAATTTGACAAATTTTGAGTAACTGAGGTATTTTGAAAAATAAAATCCTGCTTACTATTTTTAGGAGCAGCTGTACTGGGAAAAAGCCCCTTTCAGTTACATAAAAGAGGACCGAGTTGGCAAGAGACCAAGATCTTCACATTTAACTTTGTTTAAAAAGCTTATCCACAACCTTAACTTCTCTGTTGGATACAGAACTGCCCTACTGCTGGGACATCACTAAAGCTTTGGAGCATGTGAAGACAAAGTTCCCGGGACTCTCCATCCCTCCAACACACAGCTGTGATCCAGAGTGCAGTGGGGAAGACAAATTCAGCACATAGCTTTGGTAGAAATCTCCTCATTGCTCAACAGTCATTTCTGCAATGCTGAGGTATTAATACACCCTCTCCCATTAAAATTCTCCTAGTAAGAAGTGCCACATAGGAACTAGGTATTGCTGGATTTTTAGCTGGGGCACTGCTTGGCACAAACACACACTCAGTCAAAGACTTAATCATGTTCTTGCTAATGCCTATCACGGACCACAGGAATGTCCCTCTTGCCCACAACAGCCGCCTTGCTGCACTGCTGCCCCTCACCCCGCAAACCTGCATACCATGGGCAGCCAGGCACCCCTCGGCACTGCTGCCGGTTCATCCAGCTAGAAACAGCCATGACACCAGCTGCAGAGCCTGGACTCCACCCTCGGAGCTCAGAGGCACACGGTGCTCCAGATGGTGTTGTGAGGACACTGCCCTCCCCTTCCGCCCTGGTAGCGTTGTCAGCAATCACACAGATCCCACACACAACAGAGGAGGGCTTTCTGCAGAAGTTCAGCTTTGTGCTGTGCTCATGACTGTAAACCACTCAGCCTTGCACACAGTTAAAATGTTCAATATTTTAAAAAGAAAGTATCAAAGTAATTGCATGGAAAATTATTCCTCACCTATGAAAAACACCTAGGCTGTAATCTTCTGTTCTTAACAACATTACTGACCTATAAACAAAGAATAAAATACCTCTTATCAGAGGGCACATTTTTAAATCTAAATATACTCACCAAAATTGAACTTCGCAGGAAGCTCCAAAATCTTTCCTGTAACCGGTAATCAGCCATTTTTTACATTATGTTACTGACATACCTTAATTAGCTCTAATTCACAAATTACAATCACTGGAAGTCTAGAAAAATTGTGATACATTTGTTCTGAAGCAGTTGTGCATCTTTATGAACATACAGTCACTTTAATCTTACAGAATTCATTAATGCGAAAGGAAAGACACTTTTTCCTATCATGAATTACGACATACCTGTTTTCCACTTCAAGCACTCTGGTTTCCTGAAAGTCACTTGCAAACTACTAGGTAAAAGTATTAAAATGTCTGTTCATTGATTACAATGAAGAAAAAAGAAAAAAAAAATCATTCCTTTGCTATAGAGACTAGTATTTTTTTTCAAATACATTTCAACAGGACATAGAAACTAATCTTCAGCTCTTTTGAAAAACCCTTTGAATGTATCCTTCTATCTTTCTGTTTCCAAAGACCTTTCAAACCTTGACTTGTGGGAGTCTGTCTATTATTGTGAGTCAATGACAGCTAGAATCTTCCAAGTGAGACAGACAGTTTTAAGACTGGTGGTGCTTAACTACAACATGCAGTACTACTGCTATTGAAGAAACACAATTTTAAAACTGAAATTAAAGATTTCTACCCTTTATAATAGTGACATAGCTGTTGGTGTTACTGAAGTTCAGATCTCATTATTATATAGTTCTTCAACATCCACAGTTGACTTACGAGCATTGTTCCAGGAAGGCTTATTGGAGCTCAGTTATCAAGTGCAGAGTTTATGAATTTGCTGAGTCTTCTAGGTGAACTGTAATCTTCCCTAAGTAGTAATAACAAAACCCAAACTTTGTGCAGGTAAGTGAAAGCCAAAGGAATAATCAGCACAAAACCTTGAGAAGAAAAGCTTCTGAACTGCAAGTTACTTTGCCTGAGAAGAGACTGGCAATACAATGCCTTCTTTATTTGCTGAAGTGCACTTGAAGCACAAGAATTTCTCACTCCAGGTACTTAGCTATCCAAAAAAGCAGAAGATATCGTCCACCTTTTGCCTCATTTTACTTGGATACCCATCTGTGAAGAGGTACAAATCCACATGAAACACTAATTGTTTCCCTCTTCCACAAGTCAGCATCCTTTGAAGAACTCCAGAAAAAAGATGGTCCAATTATTTGCACAAAAAGAGCCAGATTTCATGGCACTGATTGGTTTTCACCAGCAAAGAAAGAGCAGAAGCACAAAAGGGCACTACACTCTGGACAGTCAATGATACATTCAAGGATGATGAGCCAAATGTGAATGCAGGTGCCAGGCATGGGTTTGCATATGATGCCACACATCAGCAGCCCATAAGGAGGATTACGATCCATGCTGAATTCCACCCTTGTCTGCTGTGTACTCCATTAGTGCCTTCACACAAGCACATCACCCAAAAAACTCCCTAATCCCATGCAGCAAGAGCAGCTGCAGTGGAGGCAGAATCTGGCCCCCAGTGTGGGAGGAAATTGAATAGGGAGCAGAACAACAGTCCCACCCTCATGCCACCATTTAACAGTTTTGCTGGTATGTGACCTTTTTTTTGCCATCAAATCATCTCCCTAGCAGTCAAATCATATGTTTGTCTATTCATCAGATCCCCTGAACATTCAAACCACATATACAAAGGCTGTTTGGATTCTTCCTGCCTCTATTGTGGCAGCTCAATAACTAAGACAGGGAGCTCCCAGCTGGGTATGAGCAGCAGAGAAACACTGCACAGCCAGAGGGGAAAGAGATCTCGGCAGAGCACACTTATATAGGGAGAAAATTAGAGTCTGGAAACTCAACGACGAGTCATCCCTTTTCTTCTGAGTGTCATAAAAAAAAAGATGCTCAAAATAATTACTACAATAGCGATGTTTAAATGTTAATTTGTACAGTACTCTGCAGAGTTTACAGTTCTGATTGACGTTTTGGCTGGAAAAGGAACCTTACTTAGCAATCTCTGTTTGCTGAATTAAAGAACTAATAGAGGCAGTTTGATAAAATGATGTCACCCTGTTTGAAACCAAGCCAAAGGAAAGATATGCTTTCATGATTTTGCCCCTGCAACCCTATGGTGATATTTAGACCTACAGATTTTCAGGATGGATTTGAATCCTCACCATTAAAAACCAGAAACTGGGAAATCACGACAAAATTCTAGCACTAAAAACTGCCTCCATCTGAACAGGTTCTGTTTGCAGGAGCAGCAATTCATTGGGTATTTAATTTTATCACACAAAAGAACATTCACTTAGCTTATCCACGTTTAACACACCATCTACTTCACCCAGTTGAAACCACTTAAAATTAAACCTCATCTAAACTAGCACTATTCATCTAAATTCCTTCTGAGATGACAAAGAGGGACCTCTGGAGTGTATTTATCCTGTTCACATACATGTGACTATTATAAGTTAGGATGCTTCATTAGTGAAGGTGATTCTTTTTCTCCACTCTTTAAATGAGAAAAAACAGCTCAGTCAAATAAAATTAGGTGAGATGAATCCCAGCATATATATCTCTACTATTAATGAATGCATCTTTAAAGGAAGGGAAATATTATCCCTGTGTTATTAATGGGCAACTTTGGGTCTCAAGAGTCTGGAATTTGTACTTTGAAAGAATTTAGAGTCCATCTACACTTAATTCAGAAGTTTAAAGTCTAAAACTGTGACCTTGAAAACCCCTCTGTGGAAGATAGGTAAGGAACAAAGAGTCTTACTTCTTTTCTGTCTCACTGAGGTACAATTATAGTAGCTACATTTGTATGGGATAGCTTGAAGAAGCCCTCAACAAGAAACACATCTGCCTTGCTCAAGATAGGAATCAGAGAAACTTCTACAGAGACATAACACAGGGATGTTTTTGTTATTGCTGAGCAGTGCTTACATGCTGGTGAGGAGAGTGGGGGTGCATTGGAAACTGGGAGGAGACACAGTTAGGACAGATGACCTCAGCTGACCAAAGGGACATTCCATACTACATGAGATCATAATCAGTATATAAGGTAAGGGGGAAGAAGAAGAAAGGGGGGGGATGTTTGGACTGATGGCGTTTGTCTTCCCAAATAACCATTATGTGTGATGGAGAGCTGCTTTCCTGGAGTTGGCTGAACACCTGTGTCCCCATGGAAAGCGGTGAATGAATTCCTTCTGTCATTTTGTTTGTGTGTGTGGCTTTTTCCTTCCCTATTAATCTGGTTTTACCTCATCCAATGAGTTTTCCAGTTTTTACTCTTCTGATTCTCTCCACAACCCCACTGGCAAGGGAGTGAGTGAGCAGTGGCATGGAGCTTAGTGGCTGCCTGACTGGAAAAAGACTCTCATTCTCAAACAGTGTTCTCCCCGACAGTAATACAGAAGAAAAGCACAGGAGAAAAGGTGATGGTGCTTTGTGGGAAGTGCTGACTCAGGTTCAAGAGTAGGGGTCATTAATACAAGGATGCAGCAAAAACCAGCCCTGCATAGCTACCACGACTAACCTGTTGGGCTGAGGCAAGCTGGGCTCTAAAATCAGGTCTGACGACCCTGTGTTTGACGTTGTGGGCAGGGAGGTGTGGACAAGGACAAAATGAGGGAGAGCCTACAAGACCAGAGTTGCTGCTATGGGTCCTGCAAAAACACCCGTGGGAAATGAACCCTTCCTCTGCACGTTTGCTGTGTGTGAGTGTGTAGGGAGGAACATATGTGGCCTTACACAGCCCAGAGAGAACCACCACAAACCCCATCTGAGTGTTCTCCGTAAGTTACATCCTTGGGGAGAAAAAGCGTAACACTTTCTGTCAGGCAAACTAAAATTACACAAGCTGTCTTGGTACTTCTCCCACCATGACATGAGAACAGTGCCCAGATTTTGATGTGCTGAGGGAAAACAGTTTTTGCAACATGCTTAGCACAATCCAGGTTGGAATCCACTTGATATCCAGACAGTTACACTTTCAAGTTTCACAGACTGAGCTACTCAGAGTGCATATATTCCTAGATGGCACTAGTATTAGTGTCAGGTTGTATTTTTGTACTTAGCTTGAAGTCTGCTGCTTCCATTTCAGGCCTGGAAAAAGGTTTTCTATATCTAAAAGTTTATCCAATTTTTTCCAATTATAGCTGCTAGTCATCAAAAATTATTACCTTCTCTATGTGCCTGGGACTATCACAGTCATAAGGAAACTGCTGCAATAAGGAAGATACTGAATTTGGTGTCTGAATGGAGATTGCCCAAAATGAAGAAAAATGAAGCCACATTACCATTTAGTTCTCAAATTTACACATCATACCCAGAAGACCTATACACTCAACCTCTAAATATTATTCATTTTTAACTACTATATACAACTAGGTAGAGAATTTAAAACACTGAGAAGTCATCTGTTTCACTCAGTTAACTCAACTCCACAGGAAATAACTGAAACAAGAAAAGTGTTTCAAAACACTTAAAAAATATTAATGCAACAGAACCAACAGCAAACCCTAAAATGCTGGCAAAATAATTTGGTAATAGACAAAAGAAGAAAAAAAAAATCTTATTAATATGATGAAAACACCCACTGTCAGCAACAAAGTAATCCTGGAACCCTATAAATGCATTGAGAAAAATAACAATAATGTTAGATTGAACACCTTTGGACACAAATTTGGAGTTAAGTCATTAAAAAGATTTCTTGAAAGGAAGGATGCTAATAAAAACCCAAACCTCTTAAACTTCCAATATTTTTTTGTGAACCATAAGTTTCTTCATTAAGCTAATCCCATTAATGCTTGATCAACAGACTCAATGCCAGCCCTTAACAATACAGGTAACACCACTTGGCAGTCTGTAGCAGTAGTTTGCCTTTTTCTCTGCCAAGTAAATAACTACTAAACTCCAGACTGCTCTGATATCAAAGGCTCTATTGTTCAGATGGGAAAGAAACCTCAGAGAATGTGTGAACTGTCTTAGTACAGAGGTGGCACTTGCTGGAAGGCAGAGCCCCTCTCCCCCAATGACCTCCACCAGCCATCCCTGCTCAGATGCACAACTTTTCCTTTTGACATGCTATTGGCATCTGAGGGGAGACACACAGCTTAACAGGCAGCTCATGGTCCAACAGAAAAGAAAGACATTTATAAATAAAAAGCATTACAGATAGGCAAATGTGCTGATATTTTGTCTTTGTGCATCTTTCCACCTGCACAGCATCCAAAATTAACATTTTCTTAATTTGCTTGAAGAAACGCACAGAAGGTTGGCTCAATCTTGTGATTTCTATGGGTTACATTACCTGACTTGAATGCCAAACACAGTTTGATATTTCCAAATATAAACCTTGCATGTATTTTCCTGAAGTCTCTCAGCAAAGGGCTGGACAAAATTTGATTGTCCTTGTTCCCAAAACTGATTATGCTCAGTGGTATATCCCCTCCTATATACTCCCTCCCCATTCCTCTCCACTCTCTCAGCCTTCTGTTAGCAGCAAAGAAACAGGAGGACATTGTACCTAACAACAGGCACATTTCAACTAAAGCCTGTAATTGCATTTCCCCATAAATCTATCAGTTATTTCCTAATAATTATTTATTTATGCATTTGTAGCCAAACAGGCAATAGCTTATATCACAAAGGGTGCACAAAACTGAAAGATAACTACACAGTTTCGTAACCTGACTGTATTCCTACTGCAAAATGTGGTTTTAGCTTTGCAGAAAACATAATGTAAAGGTACAACAGTGAATTGAAAGGTCAATCTGACCTTCACTTTGACAGGTTTTAGACATTAAAGGTTAACACACACAAAAGATGTCAGCTCCGTCTTAAAGACCCTTTTCCAAGCACTCTTTTGTGTACGGAAACAATGTTACTCTATAGAATCACAGAATCATTTAGGTTGGAAAAGACCTTTAAGATCATCAAGTCAAACAACCAACACTGTTGGACTCCAAGTCCAACGAAGAGTGGCATGAGTACTAGCTAGACTTAAAATGACATTTTAACTGGTTTTAGATAAATTAATGCAAGCCTCTCAGAGGACACCTACACTGATACACGCAGTTCAGACTGCAAGACTGCTGTATGACACGGTGTCCAAGCACTGTGCTCCTCTCCACCCACCCTGGGAGGGGCTGGCATTTCACAGCCATCCACAGCGTGATGCTCCCAGGTGCCTCCCGATCCTGGCATGCTCCCACTGTGTGACCGAAATGGTTTCATTAGTGATACATCACAACATCATTTTCTTGACTAAGGTTCATCTTCTTTTCATTATTGATGCAGTAATTAGCTAATGAGGAGGAACTGCAATTGCTAAAAGACTAAGTTGTAACACAAGACCTCAATTGGCATGAACTAGATTTCAAAACCTGAGTGGAGCCATATCATCTGTTGTTTAATGGGAGACTTTGCAGCTTTTTTCACAATGAAATTTCTGCATTTGCATTTCATACTACAGAGTTGCTACACTTTTCCCTCTGTCCCTCCTCCCCTGAAATATACAACTCTAAAGAGAATGAGGGGGTCAATTTTCAAAGACAGGTGGAAATTTAATTACATCAAAACTGGGAAATTGTGAATAGAATATTTTGATCTAGGTAGTATTTGTGAGCCACAACACTGAGAAGGACATATTGTATACTCAAAAAGACCCCATGTCTGTTCTAAAATAAAAGCAGCACTATTTAATTACTTCACCGATTTCTCCTCTGGCAAAAGCATCAGCTAAGTAAATAAAATATTTTAGTGTAGATCTGTAATGCCTTATGGCTTTGGCTTTGGCCAGGTTGATAAATAAAACTAGCAAAACCCTCAAAACCTGGGAGGCAAACAGATATCTCATTAAAGTGCAGCACATTAACTTGCCATCAGCTTTGCTGCATGCTGTGCCGTGAATAAATTAAATGTGAATTCAGAAGAATTCTGACTGTCTGTGTCTGACAAGCTTTATTACTATGCATATACCAGCAATCATCTCCCCAGTTTTGCAGAGAAAAAAAAAAGCACATCAAGGAGGCAAGAGCAAAAGAATCCAAGTTTATCTTTTCCGGCAGCAGAGTGGCTAAACTTCTAATGCCAAAGAGGGCCTGACATAAATGCTTCAGCGGCAAACACACAATTGGAACTGATATTCTGGACAACCACCAGTGAAGTAGGTATTTTGGTGACCTACCCAGCTTCTCCTCATGGCCATACCTACTGAGTGTCTATTGCTTATGCAAATGCAGCCTGTGCTCACTTCAACAGAAATGCAACCTGAGCACGGCTCTGATGGGTTTTGGCTCAGTCAGGCACAGTGGAGGTCACTGAATAATATATTTTTCCTGAGGCAAAAGGAAATATTTCCCTATCTTCTGAAGTTCTTTGCCCCTATTTTTTATAGTGTTACTAAGCTCCTTTATCCTGGAGCATGAAGAGGCTCCGATATGTTAGTTGTATTTCATCCATTTCAATGAAACAATGCTTGACTATGAAAAGCAGGGATTAACATTTCCATTGTTTTTTGTTAAGTTCTATCTCATTAATAAAAATCAGGATTTTTGACCATCGTCATATATTTCAAAATACAGACATAATAGAAATCTATGCATTTTAATCAGGCAAAACCATCAGAAAATGAAACACAAATGAGGACAGAAGGGAGACAATCATCTCACTACCCGACTCAGGTCTCCCAAGTCATAAACACACATGCAAGTATTCAGGATGGCAGGCCAGTGATCCAGCACAAAGAAGGAATGTGTAACTACATACTCACAAGTTTTGTATCTGCTTTTACATAATATCATTGTCCAGATCTGCTCAATAATTTATTGGAATTTATTAATTTATTAATATATGTAATTTATTAATATATGATCTGTGGCATAAGCTTATGAAGACCTTATGGCTGGTTTAACTCAATGGATGAAGCATTATGTGGTGACCACCACAGAGCAAAGTTTGGG